GGCAGTTATTTATATCAAATTATTTTATCAGTAAAATGAACTTTACTTTGAGATCCTTCACATACTTGACCTCCATTGCTGATTATTTAAGATAGCAAAATTTTGAAAGAGACCATTTTAATTTACGAGTTAGCAGAATGTATGGCTTGAAAGAAATTGCGATAATGATAAGCTTGTGTCCAATTAACAAAATAGTAATGGTTCTTTTGCACATGTTAGTGTAATTTAAGGCAATCAGTGTCATAAATGACCTCTGTATAGTTGAGATAGTATATCATTGTAAATCTTTCAGTTGACAGTACATATTGATGTTCTTAGCGATATTTGTTTTAACTGTTTAATTGAAATGGTGAAGAAATTACAAATACACACGTATGTTAGTTGATTTCCGTATTAAAAATCACCTTAAGTAGCAGGATGCAAGTATATGGTACTGTTCCTATATTCTAGATGAAACACGTTCCTCTATTCTAGATGGAAACCGTTCCTATAACCAATATGAACACTGTTCCTAAATTATATGTGAAACCGTTCCTATATTCTAGATCGGAACCATTCCAAATTGTATTTTGAAAACCGTTATGTATTCTTTATCAAAACCGTCCTTATATATATTATTAAAACCTTTCCCATATTGTATATAAAAAAGCCGTCCATGTATTCTATATGAAAACAGTTACTATGTTCATGCTATAACGCTATACCACGAAAATTACTTTTTCTATTGCATTGATGGTTTGCTAATATATCTGTATATCAGTTAGTGTTGCAGACATGAGATTGGCATATCCAACTGCCTTTAATATCAATGCAAAGTAACACAATTAAAGGTCAAAGCGAGTTCATACATCAATATTAACAGAGGAAATTAATATGCTTTTAAACATTGTATACATATATATGATTTGAACACATATGTTCGTGTAAATGTAAAGTATTTTCTTTCTAGGTTACTGATTGATATTCATATTAGCCATTTCATAATGTAATAATATGGATCATAATAAATGTAATGGAAATCTTTTTGTTTTAATAGTTTGTCAATTAAGTCACAATTGTATTACTATCATTTTATGTCAACTTTATAGAATTAAGTATACGAGAGGTTTGTGTCATGATAATAAATATTTCATTGATAAAAATTATGCAACTCATGACCTGAATGCTTAATTAACCAATAATATCTGAAATTAACTAAAGCTCTCAAAGCTAACAAATTAAATGACATTCAATGTTCAAGAGAAAAAATCCAGGGTTTGTTTTGTTTTGTTTAATACATAGAAAAAATACAATATATGTACTCTAAGCCAATGTATTCTAAATCTGGAATTCAGTTGTAACAACATGTATGCTATCAGCCTGATAATTGTGTGCATTGCTATCGGAATCATATCAAAGTTAACTGGCAGAAAGCTCACATAAGTCTATTAATTACTTACAAGCAACGCATGATATGTGTTTAATAACAAGTATATTGTTTGGTAAAACAGTTTGAACAAACTGTAGTGTGGCATCAATTTATGCAGTTTTGCATACTTTTTTGAGTTTCTTATCAATTAGTTTTGAACAGGCTACTTTTATGCATAAAGAATCATTGAAATTGATATACGTGTGACAAAATAATCTTATGTACATACTTGTACGCCTTCATTGTATAAAAAAATCTAAATTAATTAAAATCATCGTTTCATTTTAAATTGTTTTGAAAAATATGATTATCGTCTATTTTGTACAAAATGTCGATTTACTAAATTATCTTATTGATATGATAAGGAGATTAATTTCTTTGCCGGTATCTGTATAGAGCACGTAGGAAAAGGATCGTAAGTTTTCCATACGTGCTGAGGTTATTAAATCACATTGGGCATTGCTAAATAAAAACAATGAAGACGAAGGAGAATGATTGTTGATAATATGTTCCAATGAACATAATGATAAATTAGCAGGCACTTTGCAAGTACCCTCATGAATTATTATTCTTTCTAGAGAAGCCATACTGTTGGAAATGTGATTCCATGAACATAATGATAAATCGACCAAAAATATAACCCCATGATTCCTTAGAAATATCCGACAAACAATTATTCTTTGTAAAGTATGACAAATAACATGTTTTCACGAATATGATTGTAATCATGTATTTTAACATCAAAATCATGATAATAAAGTGTATAAGATATTACATGTTTTTAGGATTAGAGATATGAATTAAGCATCCAATTCATTCATAAAACATTCTCGACCGTCAAGCAAAGATTGTTTCTGCCTTTTGTGAATACTCGTAAATAAAGTAATTATTAATTAAGAAATAGATAAGTGACATTCAAGCTAAACGATATATCTCACTGAGAATGTTTCATCGTTTCAATTGATCTGACTGAAGATAAATCATAACGTTACACTTACTTCTTAAGAGCTACAATTTACAACATCCTGGTCGAATGGTCATAAGATGTAATTATTCCTGAGAAAAGAACTGTCAGGTTCCGCCGTTCAAAATAGTGATTTAACTGTTAAAGGTCGCCGAACAAATTTGAACAACATTACAATTGTCGCAGACTCATGTTGACTCAGCATGTTCATGAACGGCAGCAGTGCATGCGAATGTCTGTGAACATCCCTAGCACCATCTTAAAAACGTTTTATATAATATTTTTGATGCACCGTAAAGCAGATTTTATTAGTTTATTTAAGTGTTTCTAAAATGAGTTATTTCATAATTATGAAATGTAAATAATAATCGATATGATTGAATGGAGAATAACGGATACCTAGAGAACGCCAAAAACAGCAGAATTGGATATGTTACAACCTAGGTTTTGGGTGAGGCTGCTTATGGCTCTAGTGGTAATTTCAATCTTCTTTATAGCAGAATAGTCAGTATATAGTCGATTCTAACTGATGGAAACGTGGAAAATAAAACATAATTACTCAGTCAACATTCTAACAAAATTGGTGAAAAGATAATTGTCTCATTCAGTGCTGTTTAAAACTGTGAAAAATCACGCACGTTAACGGACATTCTTTTGTTTGCCATTATCTGTCCGCTAGGCAAATTGAATGTCTTTGTTCTGTCTTTGGCAGTGTAAATTTTTTTAATTGCAATGCAAACCAAATAATATAATATGTTTGCATAGAGATTATTAAATATGGAAATATTTGCGATTTTTGAGAATCAAAATCATTCGCAAAAAACTGAGCCCGCAAAAGTTAAGTAATAGAAAGAGCATCGAAAATACGAGGCTATCTGATTTGTACGAGGGGGCGTAGCCCCCGCGTATTAAACAGATTGCCGAGTGGTTTGATGTTCTTTCTCTTTTGTATCATAGTCAAACATAAAAACACGATCCCTGTTGTCACAATATGAAACCCCAGAAAAAAATAACCAATGAACGAGCATCTGATTATGACATTTCTATCGATTTCCCTTTCTCCGCCGTCACAATAAGTAAACCACAGCAATTATGAGCCAATCAATTGACATGCTCTGGAGTGCGAGTAACTGATACCTGCACTCCATTTAACGCACTGTGCATGTAAATGTATACGATTTAACTCCGACAAAGGTCCCCAAACTATGATACAAATCAAATTTAGTCTTCGAAGGTCATTCAACATTTTGCCATTACACCGGTATGTATTACAAATATCCCGTTAAAATAACATCTCATCAAATACAAACAAAAATATAACATTATTCAACGTTTATTTAATATTTCACATTATGAAATAATAACTGTTCATAATAAATGAATTGTCGAACTGAACATTTTCATAATATTTCTTTGAATATATGTGCATCTGTTAAATCGTTCATTTGTTTAATGGTTATCATAAGCGTGTTAATATAACGGGAGTTTCGGAAATCGTACTTTTGCAAATATTTTAAACATTCGAAAACATTTTATGACGTAAAAATATTCACTGATACGGTATAATAAATGTTATAAAACACATGTTTGTTTTTTTGTTTCTAAGATCAAATTTATTCTTAACTGTGACATAATGTGCTTTTACAACAAAAACTGACTAACATGTACCTTTACTAAGATATTGTCTTACAATCGTATTAATAACATTGTTTAATAAACACCTTATATTTTATACTGGTTTGTGGGTCAAAAACTATTTTGTTTACAAAAAACAAGTCAGAACATCGTAGAATGGAGTATCACTGTATATTCCTCGTATTTTTTACATGAACTGCAATTAGAGTGTGGAATTTACAAATGCTATGCAATTTGTAATTGTATATAAACGTTTAATAATTTAAAATACAGTTAATACATACTATCATATATAAGTAACTATTATTGTTACGAGTAGAATCACACAAGGAATGCTCTTAGAAAGATTGAATTTGTGTACCAGTTTGTGTCATCCAAAACAAAAATCTACATCTATATAGAACGAAAATAAAAAACAAATGTTTCATAGACGACAGTGGTTAATGCAAAAATATTATAAAATTTACCTCTTTTGTGATGCTTTGTGTCTTAATTTGCTTTTCTATTTGTTCATTTAAAATAAAACTAAGATCTGACCAGAGATGCGAATTTACAGTCATGGGTACAATAATAATATAATAGATAAAAAATAGTTCTCAATGTGAATCTTAGGAGATACTTTAATAATAAAGATTCTGTTCGACTCTAGGAGGTACATATGTTCCGTCCTTTTCATTTATTTCAATTGGTATTGATAAGGTTCCTGAAAACATTTGGTTTTCTGATAAAGCTAAATTTATAAGTTAAGCAGTTTTTCAACATGAATAAATGCAATTAAATGGTAAAAATTGCTTATGAACTACAGAGGTAAATACAATCTACTTATCTAGTGGCACTGTGTTGAATATTAGAAGTAATTATAATTTGAGCAAATATAGAGGTTCATTTTTTACATAAAACCCATTTCTATCTTTAATATAAGAAAAAGAAACTTTGAAATGGTTTATAATATATTCATGCAATGATTACCCCAAACATCAATCTTTATATAAATCAGGCAACTGTTTCATTCTTATCAGCCGGGAAAAAAGAACATACAGCACATGTGAGTTCTCTAGTGTTTTCATATGGTGGACACTTCAGTACCCCGCATGCAGCCTGGACGAAAAATACAAATTTCTCATCTTTGGCTCCATTCCCGGCTTCCAATACTTCTGGCTTTTCATCAACACAAATATATTCCGATGATCCAGCATGTGAGAAGTGACCAGCCATAAGATAACCACTGTACTCTAAAACATAATCCTTGTAACAGATGCTTCTTCCAGGAATCATTAATACATTATTCCGAGGGATCCTGCATACTGCACAAGGCACGTCTTGGTAATGTAGATGTTTCCAGTATGGGTAATCGCCGGTGTGGTATTCAGCTCCGTATATTCTGTCGGCTGATTGGAAACCATCTATGTATTGACCCCATGTAGGATCTCTAGGCAAGCACATGTAGTTTGCACCAGAACCCTTGTGAGTGTAGTGACCACCAGCGGCATAACCATCATAAACGAGAAAGGCTCCTTTAGGACTAATGATCCTACCCAACGGGTATATGTTGACCCGTCAAATGATCTTTCGGCTCTGATTATTTTTTTCTTCATTCCAGTTATCATTTCTCTTGCATCTATAATAATATAAGAAAGACATATTCAATATAAAACAAACAAAAATTGTTCGCTTACCGCTGTAGGGAGGGAATTGCCTTTATAATTCTTTGGTTGCAGGTTCGAACTTCGGGCGAACCAAAATTTTCGGTTACAAATGATCTTGGACTTCATGACAATTGATCTTGGACTTGAACCTTATGGTCATAAGTCTCTGAACTCTGGTTCAGAAAATATATGTGACTGGTAGTCAGTCACATGTGGAGATTTATATAAATATCATCCCTTCAAAACATCACGTGGTGTGTTTAATTTATAAACTTTTTTACAGCTTTGTTTGTCTTATTTTAAAAGTATAAAGCAAAGAAAACAATTTTTATTTAATTACAATAACACACATCCGAATGCAGATACTTTTTAAACATACGAAATGAATTTGCATGTTAACCAAAGATTAAATTTTACAATGATAAGAAAATGTCTCTTTGGATTAAAAATGAAAATGAGAAAGTAAGATTAATCCATTTATTGGATAAGGTTAAAGCATCATCATACAGGCAGTGGCGATTCTTTTTCAATGAATTCTAAGGATAAATTAAAAAATGTTAATTGTTAGTTTTCATAAAAATTATATACTACATGTATTGTATCTCTTTTGAGTGAGTTTATTAGTTTTAAAGTAAACAAAACGTTTATCTGAACTCAACCTTGTAACTTCTGTTGCCAAAAATCTTTTTTCTGAAAGTAAGATTTCTATTATAATGCTTTATTCGGTTTCATTCTTATCAGCCGGGAAAAAAGAACATACAGCACATGAGAGTTCTCTAGTGTTTTCATATGGTGGACACTTCAGTACCCCGCATGTAGCCTGGACGAAAAAAGAAATATGTTTCATCTTTGGCTCCTTTTCCGGCTTCCAATGCTTCTGGTTTATCATCAACACAAACATATTCCGATGATCCAGCGTGTGAGAAGTGACCAGCCATAAGATAACCACTGTACTCTAAAACATAATCCTTGTAACAGATGTTTCTTCCAGGAATCATAAGGACATTATTCCGAGGGATTCTGCATACTGCACAAGGCACGTCTTGGTAATGTAAATGTTTCCAGTATGGGTAATCGCCGGTGTGGTATTCAGCTCCGTATATTCTGTCGGCTGATTGGAAACCATCTATGTTTTGACCCCATGTAGGATCTCTAGGCAAGCACAAATAATTTGATCCCGAACCCTTGTGAGTGTAGTGACCACCAGCGGCATAACCTTCATAAACGAGAAAGGCTTCTTTAGGACAAATGGTCCTACCCCAACGGGTATATGTTGACCCGTCAAATGATCTTTCGGCTCTGATAAATTTTTTCTTCATTCCAGTTATCACTTCTCTTGCATCTATAGTAATATAAGAAAGACATATTCAATATAAAACAAACAAAAATTGTTCGCTTAGCGCTGTAGGGAGGGAATTGCCTTTATAATTCTTTGGTTGCAGGTTCGAACTTCGGGCGAACCAAAATTTTCGGTTACAAATGATCTTGGACTTCATGACAATTGATCTTGGACTTGAACCTTATGGTCATAAGTCTCTGAACTCTGGTTCAGACAGTATATGTGACTGATAGTCAGTCACATGTGGAGATACTGGTAATTACCGGTTCATTATCCAGGTAAGCCGGCTAACTACCGGAAAATGCTTTGAACGTACATGTGTATCTGTTTCTCAGTAGTTAAAACTGACCTCAGGTTTTTATGTAATCGAGGCCCTCGTATTAAAGAATATACAAAAAATGTAAATCATTGTTTGTTTTCTTAGAATCTGAAGATGATATGAAAGCATTCCATGAATTCATGAAAATATTAATAAACTTTTAAAAAGATACAAAACGGGTACTAATTACCGCTTAATTCATTTCTTAAAGCATTGTTTGTCTCCTCTTGTTGTTTCATCTTCTCTTCTAGCACGATAAGTTTCTGCAAAACGTTATATTCGTATTCAAATTTATTATAACATGCATGTGGCTCATCATTAGATAAACACATGGAAAAATGTAAATATCCAATAAGTAACAGTATAAATATTATTTGTTCAGCCATTTTTTTTCACCAGAAAAATCCTGTTTTTTTCAGAATATTACTAAAATCCCCAGAATCTGTGAACAGTTTTATCTGACTTTTTACGTTCAAGTTAAGTTATAGAATATACTATATTACAGTAAACATGTTTATTCAATTCTATTTGCTTGCTCCCAATTAAGATAAATGTTAGATTATCTATGATAACGTATACTTAATGAGCATGATAGTTTACGCCCTGTACAGAGGAGGCCTTCTCGGAATGTGTAGCGTAATGTTTTTTTTAAGATAAGACTAATGGAACTTTGGAAATGGTTTGAAACAGGTAAATGTAGTTTTAATTAAGACAAATTGTGCTAACGCTTCATTTTATGTCGATAGGGTCGGTTGTGTTGTCTGATTCCCTTCTTTTCTAGTTCTTCACTGCTGATGCTTTGTGTCTATAGATAATATAAAATACATAAAATATTTGCTACTTTTGAAGTGAGTGTCGATCGATTATTCTTTATCTTAGGGTTGTAAAATAATCTATTTTATGTGATTGAACAGTTTATCATTATGAACTAATCATTATTAACTGTAACAAACTAATCTTTAACAAAATATAGTTAATCTTACATTAGCCTGACTATTGATATACATGTATTTATATCAAAATTTACCAAATGTACGAAAGCCCTCATATCTGACAAATTGAATACAGACATTTACGTGGAACTTAAAGATTTGGTATTTATCAAGAACACACATTATGATTTCGTTTCCTTCCATTTGCTATAATGATAAATTGATAAAATCATATATTCATTATTACTTCTTGATAGTTTACGTATATCACTGTTTATACTCAAACCAATTGACATTATTTTATTTATCAGGTTTATATTTTTCCGTCCTTAAACCGTACACATTCTACACTGCAGCAGTAAATTATTGTATAATGATGAGCTGATTGTCACATTAGTAAGGTCAATGACCTTTGATATTTACCGGAATCATCATTCAATAACTGATTTATTGTATGACCATACTAAAATTTTTTATCTGGCATTTTTCAAAGCTGTAGATGTCGTTTTACACACAAAAAACCCAAATAAGCAGATGGGAAGCGCAGAAGGTGAGTACCTTTTTTTCGGCATTCGATACCATTCTAAAACGAATAAATGTTCATAAGAATGCAAAGCAAATCGTCGTTTCGTTTATCCGTCTTTTTGGAGAGAAAGAAAAAAGTCTGAATCTGAAATTTAACCATTATTAATGCTTTACGTAACGTTGTTTTTGATTGATCAGCTAGAACTTTATATATATTACTTTACCGTTAAGACAATAACGATTGGTGTCTTATAATATAATAAGCGCCACTTTTTATTGCCTCATGACCAAGTTTGTTTTGAACGATAGCGCCGCATTCAAATCATTTTCTATTGACCGTTAAATATTGGAAGTCATATAATAATATTAATTAACATTAAGGTCGAATTCAATTTCTGTTGCTGCTTATCAGTGCTTATCTATCATTAATGTTTAACACAGAATCACTTTATTAGACAAAATATGAATCACACCATTACACTGATTATCTCAGCTTAAACAGCTACACTACACCCAGGAGATAATAATGCTTTCTATATAATAGTCTGATCTACGGATAAGGTGTAAACAATAAAATCCCCGAGGGTGTAGGAATTTTCTGATATTTGTTCATGTTTTAATAATTAATTTAACTTTTTACATAAAAATAAAAAAGTTTCCATCATGCTTCACTGAAAAATATCTGCAACGATTTGTATCGAATATACCACTTTGGTTATGTTCATTGTTCTTTTTAAATTGATAAGTAAATAAAGAAAACATCAGGGTATAAATGAAAGGGATGTAATTTATCAGTATATTTTTTTTCAAGAAATAAAAGTTGTCTCTCTTTGCGTTATTTAAAAAAAATCACACATGTTCTTCCAATCGAGTGTACAATAGCATGACTTTCAGACCTCTAATGAGATACCGTGAAATAAAGCAATAAATATATATATAATAAATGATATTTCAATTTATAAGACAACTTTTGTATTGATATTGTGAAGAGAAGAAATTATGATTTAGTCATTTAAATGAAACAGTTTTTGTACGATTTTGTTTGTGCTCAGATTGTTTTATTTATCAAACAATAAACTCCAGATGTCTTAACACTAATTGGTTTTAACTGGCAAATGATTTTGTCTGTTAGCAAATGAATTGTAATTTAAAAGTTAAAACATACAATATAACGATCTATTATTGTCGTATTTCCTGGTTTCAAGTAGTTTTATTTTCTCTTCAATATGTATAGGGCCATGGCATACTACTCTATATCACTTTATATTGATTGTTTTCATAATAGAATCTATGCTAGTTGAAAATAATATTGAGTATATATATATTCAATGGTTTGAACAAAAAAAAATGCAGCATGTTTTTCAAGGCTCACTTTGTTTATAATAATGAACAACTGATAAACCAATGAGAAAGTGACCCATATGTTTCTATTCCTTGTGTGCATGATTTCCTTCCTTGGAGGTTAATTTCATTCGTTATTCTGTTGGGATTGCAGAAATAAAATCCTTAAAATAGCTGTCAGTTGAATAATCAAATTACAAACCGAAAAATGACGGAAGTGAGTTCAACCGTTCAAGCACTATGTGTACATTGGCGGTTTCGATTTAATATTGTATCCAACAAGTTAGAGATTTCATACAATGGCAGTTGTAAACATTTATAAACATTATGCAAATCATGGTAATTTACCATAACGAACTAATCTGTCTTCCGCACAATGGAGTCAATCTAATTTGACATGGATATCGCCAATAACGAAACAATGCTTCAAGAAGTGGTAGCAATTTTTCATTCTATTCCGGCCGCAAGTGAGTTGCCCATTAGCCTAAACAGCATTCCCCAAATGTGGCCTATACGTCAAACTGACATCTTTGTCACACATTACCTCAAATGTCTCAATTAAGTTGTTTAATAAAACCTTATATGCTGTGTATTATTCGTGTGCAGTGATTTAACTATTTTTCCTTTTAATATCATAAAATAGTTGTTCAAAAAAAAAAGATTAGTTTTATTTCCTTTGTACTTTGCAATTATTCATATCAGATTATTTCTATCAGTACAGAGTGCTTTGCTTTAAGTTTCTGAACATACTTGACATGCTGATTATTTAAGATACTAGCAAAATTTTGAATACAGAAAGAGACCATTTCAGTTTCAATTTAAGAATTATCAGAACTTTAATGATACGCTTGCGTCCAATTAACAAAATAATAATTGTCTTTTTACACATGTTCGTGTAATTTAAGGCAGTCAGTGTAATAAATGACCTCTGCACAGTTTTGATAGGATAGCATAATTATCATTATAGATCTTTTATCATTATAACGTATTAGTTAACAATTATGATGTTCATAGTGACAATAATTACAAATATGTTAGTTGTTAACTGTTAGCCGTTACATTCATTACTTGTATGCTAAGATGGAATAATTTTCTTTCTGTCTTTTAATTTTTGTGCATTTCATTACCTTGTATTGTTAGTATATTTGTGACATTTATTCTTTTTGAACAAAATCACCATAAGAAGCAAACAGGAAGTATATGAAACCCTTCCTATATTTAAATGAGAACCGTTCCAATATTGTATTTGAAAACCGTCATATATTCTATATTACATGTATTAAAACCGTCCTTATATCTAAATTGAAACCGTTCCCATATTTATGGTGGCTGGTTTGGTACACTTTGCGCGTTGCGTTGTCGGTAGCGACAACACAACCAATATCGTTATCGCCTTTTCGTCTTGTCGACTTGTTACTAGCGAAATGGGCCAAACGGTACCTTGTCATACTGTCGACTTGTCACCATGTCGCTAGCGAAGCACACCAAACGACGCGTTGTCGTGCAGCGCGTTGCCGCGATGTCGATTGGCTTATATATATTCAAATAGCCAATCCTTCGATTTGATCCGAGCGATATCGTTACATTGCGACAACATGCCGCACGACAGCGCACCAAATTGCGTGTATCATTAACGACAGGACGACAAGACGACAGTGCCGTTTGACGCTTAGTTGTACTGTAAAAAGCGACAACACGACGCACAAAGTGTTCCAAATCAGCCACCATACATATTGTATATGAAAACCGACCCTGTAATTTATAAGAAAACAGTTACTATGTTCATGCTTGAGACTAGGCCAAGGTCGAAATGCCTTGGGGACGAAATGGCTCGAGATATCTCAAATTACTTCGAAATTATTAAAAAAGTTTAAATTCTCATGAACGAATTGACATCAATAAATACACTTATTATTATTATTTTACTTATTATTTTTTATTATTCATCAAATTAATAACATATAGTGCTTTAAAACTTCCCTTATGGGCTAAACAGGCTTATATGCTTGTCAAGTAGTGACTCATAAATTAAACCGGAAGTTGTCGGATTTATCTAATTAAAAGCTATTTCAGAGACATTGATTATCTACATCTCTGGCTATTTCTATTTCAATATTTCCTTTGCAATTGTAAACTACAAAATTAAGTCGATTTCAAAAATTTCTAGAATACCATATAAAAAATGTGATGATAAGGTACGGCTGAGTAAGTTGAATATTGCGAGCCGTCAATTGCTTATCTCCATTCATAGAATTGCTTAAACTTTCAAAATATTATATCCGCTTCGATTCTAATACCGTGATTCAGGCTATATTGCACATGATTTACAAAAAATAAATTTCCTATCTCCTCTTCTATTCGCAATAAATCAAAGTTTTCAGAAATGCAGAGCACTACTTTTCACTCGCGTCGGTCATTGTCGGATGATTACTATGAATTCAACTTCCTTAAAAAATGTAGGATTACAATATAGCAAATATAGTGGTGATGAAACGTCACTGCAGTGGGTGTTACCCTGTATGGTTAGAAATTTCGGGTCTGTACGTCCAAACTAAAAACGGCAAAAGAATATATTTTTATTTTTTCATGATTTCCGAGGCAAAATTTGTGACCATATTAGCCTTGTTTATGGAAGCATAAGTTCATTGTACAATGTTTTTCCTTTCCACATTTATTTGAATTGTAGGTTTTAGGCCAATATCATTTCCACCACAGTGGATAATTAGTAAG